TGGGACTCTGAGGAGCACAGGGACTGGACTCCTGCTGGGACTCTGAGGAGCACAGGGACTGGACTCCTGCTGGGACTCTGAGGAGCACAGGGACTGGACTCCTGCTGGGACTCTGAGGAGCACAGGGACTGGACTCCTGCTGGGACTCTGAGGAGCACAGGGACTGGACTCCTGCTGGGACTCTGAAGAGCACAGGGACTGGACTCCTGCTGGGACTCTGAGGAGCACAGGGACTGGACTCCTGCTGGGACTCTGAGGAGCACAGGGACTGGACTCCTGCTGGGACTCTGAGGAGCACAGGGATTGGACTCCTGCTGGGACTCTGAGGAGCACAGGGACTGGACTCCTGCTGGGACTCTGAGGAGCACAGGGACTGGACTCCTGCTGGGACTCTGAGGAACACAGGGACTGGACTCCTGTTAGTGCCCAGAGTCAGAACTAAACATGGGGAGGCTGCTTTTCAGATTCATGCTGCTAAAATCTGGAACAGTCTTCCTGAAGATGTGAGACAGGCCTCCTCTCTGACAATGTTTAAAACCAGGTTAAAGACAGTTCTGTTTAGCTGTGCTACAACTGAGGGATTTTATATTTTTATCTTTCTTTTTAATGTTCTGTGATTATTTATGATTTCTATGCTGTCTTGTTCAGAACTTTGAATTGTCTTGTGTATGAATTGTGCTATATAAATAAACTTGCCTTGCCTTGCCTTGCCTATTGACTCTACTAAATCTTGTGTCATTGTAGCATTTTTTTAAACTGGATTTACAGAAAAGTTTCCTTCCAAGTTGCTGAGGACATTAGGGCACTCGACAACCTCTACTGGGTGCATATCCAAATGTTGTTTATAGAGCCATGTACCACTTTAATTTAATATTTTTATCCTTTTTCTTTTTTGCAGAGAATTTTTTTTAACTGTGTATATGTATGTATGCATGTATGTGTATGTATATATATATATATATATATATATATATATATATATATATATATATATATATATATATATGTATGTGTGCATGTGTGTATAGATATATATTATTTATTTTTTGGCTGCAGCTGGGGCATCTTTTTATTTTGATTTTATTTATTTTTTTATTTTTATTTTTATTTTTTCTTCTTGTTTTGAACTGTTATTGCCATCTGCCATGAGTTGTCAGACCTTGAAATACTGAAAATAAAGACAATTATATATATATAAAAAAAAAAAAAAAGAGCCATGTACCACCCAGTTTATAGTCAGACATCAGGAGACTGTTACCGTCAAGCTGGTTTTACACTTGTAAGTCCACCTGCTGACACAAAGAAAGCAAATAGTTTCAACAATGTCCTTTTTCTGACAGATCTAAATGTCAATAGTCATCAGACCCCTGCCTGGCACACACCAGCTTTCATTCTCCAAATACCTGTCAGGAATTATGGAACAATGCCTCAATCTTCCGTCATCACCGGCTGTCAGCGTGAGCCTGTCAAACTCTCCAACCACACATATCTGAACGTCACCTCGCATTTAAGACTGCAGGACGGATTATTCTATTATGATTGGAGGCATAACTTGTTTTAAAATGTGTTTACGATGCTGTATGGGCGGCACGGTGGCTGAGTGGATAGCACTCTCGCCTCTCAGCAAGAAGGTCCTGGGTTCGAATCCCAGTCGGACCAGGGCCTTTCTGAGTGGAGTTTGCATGTTCTCCCCGTGTCTGCGTAGGTTTCCTCCGGGTACTCCGGTTTCCCCTACCACTAAAAATATGTCCAATAGTTCTGGCCTCCTGTACTGGCGACCCCGCTCCCATCTCTGTGTGGAGTGAGAGACAAATGCCCAAAAAATTAACAATTGTAAACCGCTTTGAGACTCAGATCTGCAGTGAAAAGGCGGTATATAAATAAAGATTACTTACTGTATTAGTTCCAATATCTGAAAGTAGTCCGTTGTATCCATCAACAAAGCCATCTTCACAATGTTGGAATTTAGCAAGTACTAAAAACTGCCTTAAAATGGTCAATACTAGCAATAGTTAAACTTATTAAAGCTCAGGTAATTGACTTCTGTCTTTTTCACATCTTATTAGAAAGCACTTATCTTTTTCATACTTGTAAGAAGGAGCTTTGTTTTTTTTATGACTGAGATATTTATTGTGTTTTATCATGGGGGGGGGAAGGGGAGGGGATCGGGGATAAAAATAAAAAATAAATAATAAATAATAAGATAACAAAGAGCAAAGGAAAAATAAAATAAAAATAAAATAAACTAAGATAAAAAGTAAAAAATAAACATATGTAAACCTAGATACATACATACAGGTGACAATGAGAATACATACATATCACACTCGAAGATTTAGACATATATTCACAAAAAAAAAAATGGAAAAGTAAGAAGGAGCTTTGTGAGTCACTATTTGATACTTTAGACTAAGAATTGACTGGCATTTCACTTTTCTGTCTGGATTTATAACAGAGGCCAACAAAACATGCATGAGAAAACTAGTGATTGCTCTCGAGTGGAGAATTGAATACATGATATATTTTATGGTGGTTCAAAAGTTGGGTTTCTCAGTGTTAAGTAAGCGTTTAGTTTTCTTTGCGGTGTCCGTTTCCGACGTGTTGAGGGCCAGCAAAAAAAGCGTGCATTTTCCTTGATCTCTGCATAATCCGTGGGGTAGTGTTCGTTTCTGCCTGGTGGGTTTATTGATTGAGGCTGTGATACTGAATCCTAATTGTATTTCAGCCTCTCTTCTCTCCACACACGCGCACGCACACACACACACAGAGACACACATGCACGCACACACACACACACACATGCACGCACACACACACACACACATACACGTTTTTGTTACCTGGTGGGTCCCCTTTGACAGGGCCGTTCAGAATGGGACCCATAGACATAATCTTTTTTTACTGGGACTACTTTAAGTAATACAAAACAGTCAATAGAAACCAAACAACTATTTTAAAGGAATTTTATTTTAGATTTTGTTTTCAAATTGCAGTGATTCTATTTTTGACATAGAATTTAATGCCACTCCATGTCCGATGTCTAAGGTCATCTGGTGAGGCATTAATGCAGGCCAGGCCAGGCCAGGCAGTGAGACTTCCCAGGGACCTTTCCAGTCTGTATGAAAGGTGTCATGGTCTTCTCCACAGCCTTCACCTCAGATGCAGACCATGGCTATGGTGTGCCAAATTGTCCAAATATCATTACTTTACATTTTAATCATACATAAAAACACTATTTTTATTATTGGTAACTTATATGATACTAATCTATGTGTGGTTTTTCTTTTTTAAATGTACAAAGTTATTTTTTTCTTATGATTTGTAAATTCATTGCAGAGATCGAAGCGTCTTTTATCTTCCAGTACCTCACAATGGTCCAGGCCCAAGATAAGACAGGACACCATTGTCCCAAACCCCCTTGTCGAAAGCTTTTCCCCTCAATGGCTACAAGGACATGTCAATCGTAAACTCCCAAGTAAACGTAAACGAAAGTTGGGACCCCAACCAAAAAGATCAGTGCACCAATGCGCCAACATCAGCGCTAGCGATATTTGCGGGACTATGCAGACCCAAAAAATTGGGTCTTAAAGCTTTTCGGGAGTAAGTCTCATTTGAAAGATAAATGGACTAAGGAACACGTAGATCCAAATGTTTCGGGTGAAAAAAAAAAACAAAGCTAAAAGTCCGTTAAAAGTGAAAGAGTAACATCTGTGCTCTTTTTTTTCGTTTTTTTCGCTAAAGATAAATGCACATTTTTGGATTATTTCTGCAGAATGGATTTTACTTTGGGAAATACAAGTGGATATAATTTTCCTTTGGACTGTTCCAGAGAGAATGATGTATTGCAAGCTGGGAGGAGAGCTGATTTATTTGTACAGCACAAGCCCAAAGGTAAAAAACTATTTCGGAATTGATTTATTTTGTGCCCACATTATGTGTTATATCTTTTGAATGCAAAGTCTGATGTAGTTTACACTTGTATATAAATGTAGATAAGAAAATAAGCTTTAAAATGATATACATCTGCTATTGCCAGCAGAACATTTAAAAACATAAAAACGGCCGCCGGCGCGCCTGTTGTTGTAAAGAGGTTAAAGGCAAAAAAATAAAGCATGACATTGAAAAGTGAATTACATTGTGGGAATTCCTGAATACCTCCCATTGGGGTGAATGGCAAGGCAAGGCAAGGCAAGTTTATTTGTATAGCACAATTCATACACAAGGCAACTCAAAGTGCTGAACAAGATAGCATTAAAATCATAAATAATCACAGAACATTAAAACGAAAGATAAAAATATAAAATCCCTCAGTTGTAGCACAGCTAAACAGCACCGTTTTTAACTTGGTTTTAAACATTGTCAGAGAGGAGGCCTGCCTCACATCTTCAGGAAGATTGTTCCAGATTTTAGCAGCATGAATCTGAAAAGCAGCCTCCTCATGTTTAGTTCTGACTCTGAATGTTACTTTGTGTGTCTGTAGAATGCTTAATTCATAGTGTTTCTATTAAATCATCAAGGCTAAAACAAGCTCAAACTGTGTGGGACAAAATTAGAGGTCATGGCAGACATGGAAGTAGTGACTCACGCGGAAAACAGTGCAAAAGCAGGCTATTTCAATAGACAAGGTCAGGCCAGTGAAAACAGGCTGGCTTTGGTCTGGATGAATTTTAGCGAATTGGAGAACATTTTCAACAGAATATGACTAAAAGGGCTCCATAGCCAGAGGGGTATGCAAGCAACTTAAAATGTTGTGTTCCAAAAAAAATATTTGTTATATCTTTATGTTTGAAGCCTGAAATGTGGCGAAATGTTGAAAGGTTCAAGGGGGCCGAATACTTTCGCAAAGCACTGTACTTCAAAAGATGTAAACTTAAGAGACGAGTGGACACATTTTGCCTCAAGAGAACCAGACTTGGTCCAGGTAAAGTGAACAAGAGCATCAAGAGTGAAAGCACCATTTTCATTTTTTGTTTGAATAAATAAATATATAAATAAATACATCACACACGCACCGACTTTGAGGACTCCATGGACCCGGACGACAGTGTGTCACGGCTGCTGCGGCTCTTGGAGCTGAGGTGGGGGGAGGAGGAGGGGGAGTCATCGATGAACGGGAGGATGTCATGGTGCCGCCGCTGCTCTTCCGCTCGGTCTGCGTCATATCCGTACGAGGGAGGCGTGGACGTGTAGTGGCCATCTGCAAGAGAAAGACACACTATTTGTATTGATTTACAGAGATGTAATAAACAACACTAATGATAGAACTGAATGTTTACATGCAATGTTTGTGGACACCAATATCAAGTTCCAAAGACTGCAAATATTTAAGTTTATTTAAACCTTAGATGATACAAAACAAATCATTATTGACCATTGTCAAAAATATATAGACAATAATGACTAGAAGAATATAATTTGGAGATCAATATATGTTATCAATCACTTGTAGAGAAACAAGTTTCCAGATTTGTTTTGTTTGAAGAAGTTATTTCTCATCGGCAAAACTCTTAAATCACATTGCTCCGATGCGGAACAGCAGAGTGAATGGAGCTTTGAAAGACGAAAAGTGCCGAATAAATGTGACCATTTACCACTTTTGTATTTCACAATAAAACTGGAGGGCATTATAACATAGATCCCCAAGCCTGACCAATCCAAACTGTTCTCTATAGCAGCAGTGAAGGATGGAGAAGCATTTTCCATAATAACTAGACTACACAAAACGTACTGGAAAGATCCAGAAAAAGAGAACACTGATGACACATTTTGGACAATAAAAAGGCTCCTCATCAGGTTTTCAACTATTCTCCTCCTTGGTCATAAAAATACATTATTTTACAAAAGAAAAATAATTTAGGTTGCCGTCATCACCTTTAAAACATTGACTTAGAACATGTTATTAAGAGGTAGCAGCGGATACTGTCCTTTTGGATTCTACTAAACATGGGGCAGCATTTCATATTTATTCAGTTCAGTTCTTAATAGCTATGCGTAAAATTACAGGATTTTATATTGACTATTTTTAATGTACTGCGTTTATTTATTATTTAAATGTTTTGATTTATTATGTTTGGAGGCCCTGTTTAGACAAAGAGGCTGCAGAGACGCTGGAAATCAATTGTCAAAAACGCCCAGGCTCCGTATTCAAAGTGGAAAGTATCTTCATAACGACTTTAAAAGTAGCAGCCAAAATAAAAACTAAAACTACAGCTTCACATTTTTTGTTTGCACGAACAAAGAAGTAGATGAGCTCCTTTGTGTAAAGTTCAAAACACTCGTAGTTGATCCACCGCCATTGTTTACGTTTGTCCTCTGCTCCTGCGCATGTCCATGTGTGGGAAGTGGTGAGGTCGCTGCAGCCAGAGAACGCCTTTTCTTTACACAGCTGTGAAATAGCCCCCCGCCGCACAGCGTATGTGTTTCTGAACAGTAGGGTTTTCACGTGAAACACCGTCTGTGCAAACGAAAGGCCAATCCGAGACCCAACTCTATCAGTTTACTGCTGCAGTGTCCCCGTGTAAACGAGTGTCTGAACTATGTGAGTCATTGCAGGATAGTTTTAGTGTTCAAAGGGCGGTCTCTCACTGTGCATGGTCTCTGACAGTGGGTTACTGATAAAGCAAAGTCAATTTCCTTCTAAACCCCAATTAATGCCATTCTGGAAACTAGGGCACACAAAATGAGCGTCCCTGTGGAAATACTCCATGCGTACATTTGTGCAAAACAAAGAAACCGAGCACTTAAGAGGCCAACCACAAAATGGGTCAAGGTTCAGATGATTTGAGAGAGACTGTAAGAAGAGGGTAAGCCATGTTTAATGTTGTATGGCACAGGTGTGTACATCGTAAATGTGTAACAAGACATTTTAATTGTATCGCTGTACACAATTGAAAAAACTTGTTTTCGGCTGTCTTCAAATACAGCACATAGGCCTTTTCACAATACTCAGTTAGAGATGATAATTTGCTTTTTATTTTATTTTGATAAATGTGTTCATTTCATTAAAATGTGCTAAAGCAAGGAACTAGATAAATCAGAACATTTAACAGGTTAAGACATTAATTATGCATGAGCAAACCCTGGCCCGCTGGCCAGATGCGGCCCTTTGGACGTTTCCGTCAGGCCCCCAAGCCCTCCTCAAGCAAAAAATATAGTGTAAGGACTCTATCCCCCTAAGCTGCCTGCGGATCTCCAGGGTCCTTGCTCTGCCACACATCTTTCTCAGTGTGTGTCAAAGCCAGCTCGCCACAGAAGCCCCCTCACTCTGCAATCTGCCCTAATCTTTTCCTTCTCTGTTCTGTACTTTGATCTTCTCTTTCTCGGTTTTCTTTATTTTGTCATTTTTGGACCCTAAAATTCATCACTGCACATGTCGTTATATGACAGCGCTGCTTACTGGACTCCTTCGCTAAAGACCATGTTTATTAATCAGAATAAAACTCCTTTGAATACTTTGCCTGTGAATTACAGTTACTGATTATCAATTTCATACAGTTTTTAATTTCAAAATAAAAACATTTTAATGCGTATATTTCAAGCGCTTGATTGTCTAAATTCAATAAAAGAATAAAATATGATGAAAGATAAAATATGATGTTGAAAAATGTGCCTGACACGTCCTGCAGAACCCATGACGAGTCGTGTGCTCAGTCAAGTTGGTCTGCGCATGCGTCACTTTACTGAGGTAAAGACGGCCACTTGCTTTCATTTGGTCAATCAGATTGATAACAATCTCCACTCGCTCATCCTTACCTTTGTAAACAGAGAAAAACCTCTCTCCAGCTTTCAACTCAAAAATGTCAAGTTAACAAAATCTGCATGAGTTCTAAAGTGTGTAAGGGTGGTAAGTGTGGCAATCAGCTCCTCACTGATCCTGCAGGAGGAGGGTACAGAGGAAGATGGCTGCTGTCGGTGAGAGCACAGCCTTGATCTTTAATTGGGGGCTTACGTCAAATATTAATTAAACAAATAACACTAAATAAGTTATTACTAATTTATAACAATTAAACAAACAAACTGGTAACTAATATACAGTATGTGCTACATGCTCGTTCTACTGATGCACACAATAATTTTAAAAAATATACGTTTAAATGTACTCAGTAAATTCCTCTGCATATCCTCAAGTTGCGGGTACCACCCCCTTTCAAAGTAGAGGAAATCACCAAAATAAGAAAAAACACGTGACAATTATATTGTATCCCATTTTGTCCACTTATGGAGACAGAATAGACTGATGCGGCCTATGGCATGAGGAGCTGTCGAGGGTCCGTCATGTACAGCAGCATTTGCAGCTCAAAGAACAGGTGTCATCATGACTCTGATCAATCCAGAACTAAGTTCAGTAATATTTTTTGTAAGTGGACTCACTAGAGTCCACTAATCTTGAGTTTTTTGCTGGAAAACAATAAATGTATGAATTAAGATTATCAAATCATATTTTACATGATTATATATGTACAACATTTAAATAATACATATATGTAAATAGCTGAACATCATAGATATTTTATATCTTTTATATCTCTTTATAAGTATAAAAAAATCATTAAAAAATCAGGAATTTATATAGCCTGATTGTTTTGTAGTAGTAGCAGTAGTAGCCATCCTCATAGTGGTAGTCTAGGTGTTATGTCTGCATTTGTTTTGTTGATACGTGCGTACTGTCCCTTTAAGAGCTTCTCCCAGCACATGTGCAAGTGTTTGAGGCCGGTGTAACTTTCACATATGGAGAATCCTTTGCATCATTGTGCACTCTGGGACAGTTTTGGCACATTGTCTCTGAACATTTGGATAACTTCATGGACAACTTTATTGACAATAATGCAATTTTTACCTTGACTCGCTTCTCTCATGACAACACGCGCACGAGTCCTTTTGTCACGGCCCCTCCCATACCCGACAGGGGCGGCTCCCTTTCAGACAGGGAGGACCCAGTGATTGGGCACACCTGTGCATACAAATGTGTCTGACTAACTTTTCTCTCTCTCTCTGCTCTGCTTCCTCCAGGTACTGGATCATTGTTTCTTTGTTTGTTATTTCATTAAGATTAGCTTTGGTTTCACACTCAGACACTGGTTTTTATTCACTGCACACATTCCATTGCTCACACCTCATTCTTTATTTTGTATCTATGTCTTTGTTGTAGTTATTATTTAAAATAAACATGTTAAATACCCATACCTGTCTGTCCCTCATTTTGCCACCAGCCTAGAGCCAGCTTGTGACACTATTATGAAGATAAAAAAACTTGAATTATGCAACTTGAGTAACGTGCAGTATTGGTGTCGGCAACGATAACGGTGTTATAGTTACAGTCAAAGTAATTATTAGATTACTCATTACTGGAAAAAGTAACGCCGTTATCCCATAACTGAAAACCAGTTAATCTCGGCAACCCTATAAACAACATTATGTCCATCACATACAAGCTGGACAATTCAGAGTTCATTATTCTCTTTTAAAATGTTCATAGGTCAAACATCTTTGAAATGACGTGGAATGTTCCCGGGAGCATGTACATGAAGAGAGTCTTGTTCTTTGTCCGACACCCCTTTCCACCTCCTTCGGCTCCCTCTGCCCTCCCTCGGCTCCTCTCTGCCCTCCCTCGGCTCCTCTCGGCCCTCCCTCGGCTCCTCTCTGCCTCCCTCGGCTCCTCTCGGCCCTCCCTCGGCTCCTCTCGGCCCTCCCTCGGCTCCTCTCTGCCCTCCCTCGGCTCCTCTCGGCCCTCCCTCGGCTCCTCTCGGCCCTCCCTCGGCTCCTCTCTGCCTCCCTCGGCTCCTCTCTGCCCTCCCTCGGCTCCTCTCTGCCTCCCTCGGCTCCTCTCGGCCCTCCCTCGGCTCCTCTCTGCCTCCCTCGGCTCCTCTCTGCCTCCCTCGGCTCCTCTCTGCCTCCCTCGGCTCCTCTCTGCCTCCCTCGGCTCCTCTCTGCCTCCCTCGGCTCCTCTCGGCCCTCCCTCGGCTCCTCTCGGCCCTCCCTCGGCTCCTCTCGGCCTCCCTCGGCTCCTCTCGGCCCTCCCTCGGCTCCTCTCTGCCTCCCTCGGCTCCTCTCTGCCTCCCTCGGCTCCTCTCGGCCCTCCCTCGGCTCCTCCTCGGCTCCTCTCCTCCTCTCCTCTCTGCCTCCCTCGGCTCCTCTCTGCCTCCCTCGGCTCCTCTCTGCCTCCCTCGGCTCCTCTCTGCCTCCCTCGGCTCCTCTCGGCCCTCCCTCGGCTCCTCTCGGCCCTCCCTCGGCTCCTCTCGGCCCTCCCTCGGCTCCTCTCTGCCTCCCTCGGCTCCTCTCTGCCTCCCTCGGCTCCTCTCTGCCTCCCTCGGCTCCTCTCTGCCTCCCTCGGCTCCTCTCTGCCTCCCTCGGCTCCTCTCTGCCTCCCTCGGCTCCTCTCGGCCCTCCCTCGGCTCCTCTCTGCCCTCCCTCGGCTCCTCTCTGCCCTCCCTCGGCTCCTCTCTGCCCTCCCTCGGCTCCTCTCGGCCCTCCCTCGGCTCCTCTCGGCCCTCCCTCGGCTCCTCTCGGCCCTCCCTCGGCTCCTCTCTGCCTCCCTCGGCTCCTCTCTGCCCTCATTCGGCTCCTCTCTGCCTCCCTCGGCTCCTCTCTGCCCTCCCTCGGCTCCTCTCTGCCTCCCTCGGCTCCTCTCTGCCTCCCTCGGCTCCTCTCTGCCCTCCCTTGGCTCCTCTCTGCCCTCCCTCGGCTCCTCTCTGCCCTCCCTCGGCTCCTCTCTGCCTCTCTCGGCTCCTCTCTGCCCTCCCTCAGATCCTCTCTGCCCTCCCTCGGCTCCTCTCTGCCCTCCCTCGGCTCCTCTCTGCCCTCCCTCGGCTCCTCTCTGCCCTCCCTCGGCTCCTCTCTGCCCTCCCTCGGCTCCTCTCTGCCTCCCTCGGCTCCTTTCTGCCCTCCCTCGGCTCCTCTCTGCCTCCCTCGGCTCCTCTCTGCCCTCCCTCGGCTCCTCTCTGGCTCCCTCGGCTCCTCTCTGCCCTCCCTCGGCTCCTCTCTGCCCTCCCTCAGCTCCTCTCTGCCTCCCTCAGATCCTCTCTGCCCTCCCTCAGATCCTCTCTGCCTCCCTCAGCTCCTCTCTGCCTCCCTCAGATCCTCTCTGCCTCCCTCGGCTCCTCTCTGCCTCCCTCGGCTCCTCTCTGCCTCCCTCGGCTCCTCTCTGCCCTCCCTCAGCTCCTCTCTGCCCTCCCTGAGCTCCTCTGCCTCCCTCAGCTCCTCTCTGCCTCCCTCAGATCCTCTCTGCCTCCCTCAGCTCCTCTCTGCCTCCCTCAGCTCCTCTCTGTTCATGAGGGAGGCTGCTGAACTGAAGCCAGTAGCTCCGACACTGCCCTCACTGTGTCTATGCAAACATTGGACACATTTCCACCTCATCCCATTGCTATATTTGTTTGGAATTCAGGGGAAATGAGTGCACAGGCTCAGCTTCAAAATGGTGATTCATGTAAATACCGCACATTGATAGAGCCCTGAAAATGCCTTGCCAAAGAATTCCTACCCCATGACCTTTTCACATGTTTTCACTGTTGTGACAATAAACAGAGATACTGTTATGGAAATTGGTGTCAAAGAAAAAGTGGCAAATAAAAAGTGATTCCAGAAAATATACATGTCTTTACAAAGTGTTCAGTGTTCGAGCCCTCTCCCTTGTTTATTATTTCTCCTGGTGTCCTGCAAAGTATTCATGACCTGCAGTTTCCAACATTCGGGAGGAGCCACTTTAACCTGTGCTGCTCAACCACTGCACTGTGTCCACATGAGCCCACTGCAAACCCACCACTGATGACACCTCCCCTTTAGATTTGGATACTTTTGACCGATGGGCAGGACTACAACAGTGACAAATATAACGGGAACAAAAAGCCTTTAAAAATATATATATTATAAATAAGATAATCGTGAAAGATTAACAAAATCCCAAAACTTTCCAAGAATTATCATCTCAAAATACATCTGCAGACTTTGTTCCACTGCTCATGAAATGTTTACATAGAAACAGACTTGAGTGAGGTGCAGGTAAGTAAGTAAGTAATCTTTATTTATATACCGCCTTTCACAGACCAGAGTCACAAAGCGGTTTACAATTGTTATTATTTGTGGGCATTGGTCCACTCACTCCACACAGAGATGGGAGCAGGGTCGCCAGTACAGGAGGCACATGCCAGACCTATTGTGCATGTTTTTAGTGGTAGGGGAACCCGGAGGACCCGGAGGAAACCTACGCAGACACAGGGAGAACATGCAAACTCCACTCAGAAAGGCCCTGGTCCGGCCGGGATTCGAACCCAGGACCTTCTTGCTGAGAGGCGAGAGTGCTATCCACTCAGCCACCGTGCCGCTAAACGGTAAAACGTCACTGTTGGAAAAAATACCAGCGCTCTTACTTATCAAAGTAATTTTAAAACATAATACTGAACAACATGCCCAACAACAACATGTTACAGCAGATCCCTGGAACAACTGAAATGTGCAGTGCTAGGAACAGATACTGCGCAGAACCCTCAAGCTCCCAGGCCTCCGGTAGAGGACCCAAGCTTAGAGAGGGATAACCACAAATATAAAACACTTCCAACACCAGGTCATGGTCGTAAACAGAAGCTTTTACACTTTCATCTGAGCAAAAAATGACTACACAATGCTGCTAAACCATCATCGTTTACAGGATTATATTCTTTATAAATGAGGAGAGTTCAGGTTTGCAGCAGTGATCTAGTGCTATTGAGTTATAGGTTTTGAGAAGCCCTATTGCCAACAAGCAGACATAGATTTATGATATATTTATGTAAACAACAATAACTCCTTGGGTGAAAAATGACACTGAAACATTGCAATGAATAATAAATATTTGTACGGTGAATAGATTTCTCCAGAACATTTAATTGAATGAGTGCTCCAATCAAATTTTGTGAAAGATGTCCCTTTCTTAATTAATACCTGTGGCTATAGAGCAGGGGTGCTCACACTTTTTCAGCATGCGAGCTACTTATAAAAGGATCAAGTCAAAATGATCTACCTACTACAAAAATGCAAATCATATATTTATTTCAAAAAATATTCTTTATACCTACAATGTATGTTTATGTACATGCAAAACCGCATGAGCCAATATAGCACAACACAACACAATTACCTATGTACATTTTTTGTCATTACCCGAGTTTACTCTTATGACTTGCACTGAATTGAATCGGCCAGGGATGCATAGTCCGGAAAATTGGTGGTAACTCGCTGACAAGTTTGTCGTGGTTTAGCTTTCCTGCACTGAGCGCGGTTGTTTGCGCATGTGCAGTCACCTAAGTGTCAGTAAAACATTACTGAGTAAAACACAGATGTCATTTGACTGTGGTGCCATGTCCATGTGCTATGCCTGTTTTTTTTAAATCCAAATATTTCCCCTCCTCAGTTTATAAAATAATTTGCATCCACACATCTGCGTTATCAATCACATTCGTAACATTCCAAACATGTGCGTCTCTTACGTCCTGTCCTGCGTTGGGGAAAAACACGGAAGTGGGCGGAGCTTTGATGCAGATGCCGGTAACGGCACTTTTACAGTCATAGAAGACACTCAGAGTAAAGACGTATGTTTACAAGCACTGACCCCGTCCTCAGCCCTGATTTAGTCCTGGTTAAGTCCTGGTTTAGTCCTGGTTTGGTTGTTTTCGAGCGTGAGTCCCCGCGATCACTTTGCTGCTCTCTGATGTGGAGGATGTTTGCTGCTGCGAGCATCTCACAGCGAACAGTTTTTAGGTCGTATGATCCATGCTTCAGTGATCAGAGGAATTTAGGGGGGTACTGTGGCGTGCGAGAACGCAAAACTCCGGTTATCTCTGTCTACACACAAATGCATTAACAGAGTTTTCAAAAATCTCCACTTTGCCCGGAGTTTTTTGTATATATTCGTTTAGAATGTGTATTTATTTATTTATTTATTTATTGCGATCTACCAATACTACCTTTGCGATCGACTGGTAGATCGCGATCGACGTATTGAGCACCCCTGCTATAGAGCATCTGTGGGCCATATTTAATATAAAATAACAGGGAAGCATGGTGTGAGCAGAACAGAATAGTAGAGAGCATTCTTATAACCATAAATAACAGACCAGAGACAATGCCACAGACAGGGACCCATGAAATCAGAGCGAGACAGAAGATTCTTAGGGCAGCTCCGCCTCTCCATCCCCCATCATGCTCAGCGGCGCTCGCCATGGCCCCATAAATCTGCACTACTGCCGACGCCGACGCCATTATTGCCCCCTGAGCACCGTCTCAGCCTCACACGTGGATCAAGAAACGTGGAGCAGCATATGGAGGAAACTCACCCATTGATCAACAGAGTGAAAGGATTCAATGTCTGCAGCAAGATGACTCATGTATATTGTAGGTCGGGCGCCTTAATTACAATATTGACTTATGGTTCAGTAATTGGTTGATGACACAAAACATTTCATCTTCCAGACGTAAAAAAAAATAAAACATTTCAAGCATGCGTATTTCATGTTGGGTGTTTCTCTTTTTATAGCTCCTGTGAAGTACTTTGGGCAGATGGTGCTGTTGTAAATGTGTTATAAGTTAAGTTGACATTGAAATGTTATATGCAATTGAGGGTCAACTGGAGCCTAGCCTGGTCGTACCACACCATAGTACAAATTTCATTTCATTCTAAGGTCTGGATTGTCTCCATTGACTCCGTGAACAGGTGGGAGGGGTTAACTCCTTTTGCAGATTGAAACCATTGGATCTGAGTTTACTGTGACGTATCTAATGCGTCCGAGTGAGTCGTTAGCATTTAGCATTTAGCCTAGCTTTAGCCATCTCCTTTGCCGCTAACGGAGCCCGTGGGGAGCAGCGCCACAATTTCTTCTAGCATTTACATTTGCTGAACATTCCTCTTGCTCCTGCTTCAGTTTCTTGATAGAACCAGACCAGATTACTTTACTATCGCATTCTTCGCCATTGCCAAACTACAACCTTACCGTTCGATGCAGACTTGTCTTGACGTCACCCACAACTAACTACAACACTCTCCTTCCGTGCTCTCTGATTGGTCGGTCGAAATTCAACCGATTGTATTCTCTAACACAGGGACCAGACCCAGACGTTACAGTGAGATGATGATTGAGCGGAGTGTACGGATGGATAAGGCCAGACTAGTATGAACCCACTGAGCAGTGCTTTACAATAATCCAAATGTAGATGATATCCTCAGCAACAATTTAAACACAAAATACTCCAAACTATTTACATATTGCTGTTTTGTTGTCAAGGAACTCGCTATACAACTTAAAAACGTGGGCACAAATGTTGTACCGATAGATGAATAGAGGGATAAATGAAATACAATGAAATACCCTCTGCACATTCTCCCCACTCTTAACACTTTTGTTTGTTTCAAAAAGATCGTGTTATAAGGGATTACACGCATTAGTTTAAAAGCATCAGAGGACATCACTCTTAGGACCCAAATCCAAAATTAAGGGAAAATCAGTGCTTTGATTAAGGGCAACATGTGTGTTACTAGAATGGATAAGAACAAAAGGAAGCTCAGTCCTATTAGTTCATACAAGTATCCAGTAGGGCTGGGCGATTAATCGATTTTAATCATTAATTCGAGTTTTACGTTTAGGGCGATTTCTTTTTTTAAAAATTCGATTTTTATTTTCTCCAGCGCAGAACTACAGCGCTAACGCGCTAACCGCGGGTCTATGGTGTTGAGCAGTCATTTTGAAGCTAACCTAATGCTAACAGTCTCCCTCTGGCCTGATGCTCGCTCTCACAGTTGGTGCTGTTGCAATAACACTTCAAACGTTCAAGAATCAGACTTTATTTAATCGCCAAAACACACACATACACACACACAGGCTCCGGTCGTACGCCACATCTTTCACGCTCTCTCACGCTCGTTATTCCAAAGCGCACTCCCGTGTCCGTGGCGCGCACACACTCGTGTCCCACTGAGCCGCTGCACTTTGGGGAAAGACACGTCTCACACATTGCTCTCATTGCTCTGATACAAACAACGTGTTCCCCGCTGTCTGTTAGCTACAGTGGCTGCTACAGTAGCTGCTACTGTTGCTGTTAGCTACAGTAGCTGCTACAGTAGCTGTTAGCTACAGTAGCTGTTAGCTACAGTAGCTGTTAGCTACAGTAGCTGCTACAGTAGCTGTTAGCTACAGTTGCTGTTAGCTACAGTAGCTGCTACAGTAGCTGCTACAGTAGCTGTTAGCTACAGTAGCTGTTAGCTACAGTAGCTGCTACAGTAGCTGTTAGCTACAGTTGCTGTTAGCTACAGTAGCTGCTACAGTAGCAGCTACTGTAGCTAACAGCAACAGTAGCAGCTACAGTAGCTGTTAGCTACAGTAGCTGTTAGCTACAGCATCAGAATGTAAACAGGAAGCTCGCACAATGCGGGAGTCACTGAAGTTAGTATTAGCGCCACCAGCTGGACCGAGCGTTGTACTACAGCACAGTTACTCAGGCACAGTTGAAAGAACAAGCATGAAAACCCGAGGAGGCTTTTGGAAAAGACTGTCTGTTACAACATTTCTATTTTGAGTAATCAGTTTTAAAAATGTGATATTTCATGTAAATAATGCATGTGTTTTATAGGATTGATATATTTGCGATGGGCCTTGTTTGTGTGATTTAAGTTATTTTGAAGGTGCATAGTGTCATTGTAAGTGAAGTTATTATAAAACTGTTAAGCTACATTTTCACTGTTTACAATGGCAGAGCCATTTCGTTTACAAGCATGTTTTAAGGCTTAATTCCTGTTACACTTATGCTCCATGGGGATTTAGATTAAACTGCATAAAGGAAAATCTATTTCTTTGTCAGTTGTAGTTTGTTTTTAAATAGAAAAAAATAAATCGATTAAAATCGTAAATCGGATCTGTCTGTCTGTCTGTCTGTCTGTCTGTCTGTCTGTCTGTCTGTCTGTCTGTCTGTCTGTCTGTCTGTCTGTCTGTCTGTCTGTCTGTCTGTCTGTCTGTCTGTCTGTCTGTCTGTCTGTCTGTCTGTCTGTCTGTCTGTCTGTCTGTCTGTCTGTCTGTCTGTCTGTCTGTCTGTCTGTCTGTCTGTCTGTCTGTCTGTCTGTCTGTCTGTCTGTCTGTCTGTCTGTCTGTCTGTCTGTCTGTCTGTGTGTGTGTGTGTGTGTGTGTGTGTGTGTGTGTGTGTATGTCTGTGTGTGTTTGTGTGTGTGTCTGTCTGTGTGTGTGTGCACTTGTTTTCAACTCCTGGTGGGTTCCATAACCTGAGATTCCACTCACGTCATGGGGACTGGTTTTACGTGGTGGGGCCCGAACACCGGACCCCACTGGTCCAAGCTTAATAATCAATGGGTAATGCTTTTCTAACGGTCCTTATGCAGTCTCTGTAAAAATATGGAAAGGACCCCTGGAGGTTTACTTTCCTGAAAAAAGTGTGTTATGTGTCGGAACCCTGGTGGTGGGTTGCGGGATATCAAGGAGGGGCACACTGGGGCAATTTCAGTCCAGCCGGCTGGAGCCAATCATGGAGCAGCACAACAGAGGAAAAGTCAGGTGAAAAGGTGCAAGTGTGTGGTTCATTAGGCTGCAAGAAATCATGGAGGAGCACACTGAAGCGCACGCTTACAAACCACTGGTAAGTGCTGACTACAAGTCATGACTTCAAATTGTTATATAGAATTATTACAAATTATTTGTTGTTTGTGCAGCTTAGTCAAGAGTCCCTAATTGATGAAGTCGACTCAGATTCTGACGATTTAACTGTCAAGAAGAAACCTGTAAAAAAGTATGGAAAAAGAAAAATCAAAAACACTTTTCTTCAAGACTCGGAAAGTGACGAACCAAAGGCAAATAAGATTGTTATCATGCAGCTGCAAAAGAAGAAAAATGGGGGGCGAGTATACAGCAAGAGACACTTCTGCCTCTACTGTTCAATGTCCTGCCACAAAATGTCCCGTCATTTGACTAGAAAACATGGAAATGAAAGTGACGTAGCCAGAGCATTGGCTCTACCTGTGAAATCTAAAGCACGTAAACTTCAGTTTGATTTGATCAGGAATAGTGGAAACCGTGAGCACAATTTTGAGGTTTTAAAGGCCGGCATTGGAACTTTAGTCCCAGCTAAACAGCCAAATTCCCCAGTTAAATCCAGTGAGTTTTTGCACTGTATAGACTGTGGGGCATTGCTTAAGCGAAAGTCGCTGTGGAGGCATGTGGCCAGGTGCCGGCTTTCACAGAAAGATGCCCAGGCTAAACCAGGTAGAAGTAGGGTCCAGTCCCTCTGCTCCCTAGCCCAGCCTGTACCGGAGGGCATCAGCAAAAAGCTGTGGTCTTTAATTTCGGCAATGCATCAGGATGAGGTCACGGGTGTTGTCAAAGCAGAAAAGGGGATTCTGAGACTCGGAGAGCACCTGTACTTAAAACACGGGCATGATAAGACAAAGCATGATTACATTAGGCAGAAAATGAGAGAAGTCGGTAGGTTAATTAACGAAGCAAAAACCGCAGGGAAACTGAAAACAATTAAGGATTTCTTTATTCCTTCCAACTTTAACCATGTGATTGATGCAGTCAGGTCTGTGGCTGGATATGATGAGGAAACAAATCAATACAAGACTCCATCCTTGGCCCTCAAACTCGGCCATAGCCTCAGAAAGCTAGCAGATATTCTTGAATGTGACTCAAAAATGGAGCATTGTGTTGATGAACTATTTATTAAAAACCTCCAACGAAGCCGGCTGCTTTTTGAGAAGAGGTGGGACGTCTGTGTTTCTTCTGCTGCCCTACAGACCCTCCGGCAAGCCAAGTGGAACACTCCGGACCTGCTCCCTCTGACTGAGGACGTTAGAGCCATGCATGCACATATTGAGGTATGTCGACCTGAATATGTGCAAACCCTAATAAGTGAGCCAACGTCTAAGCATTGGTCTAAACTGGCAGTTTTGACTCTTTGTGAGGTCATCATTTTCAATCGAAGAAGGGAAGGTGAGGTTTCAAAGATGCCACTGACAGCCTTTACCTTAAGAAGTAAGACTGGGATCCATTCTGACATTGCTCTGGGACTGTCCCAACTTGAGAAAAAGCTGTGTCAGCATTTTCAACGCATTGAAATTAAAGGGAAAAGAAGTCGGAAAGTGCCGGTTCTTTTGACTCCTGAAATGATTGCTTCGATGGAGGTGCTGGTGGAGAACAGAAGGGCCTGTTCCATCTCTGACCATAACCCATACTTCTTTTCCCGCCCGGGCGCAGACACCCACATCAGGGGATCAGACTCCCTACGCCAGGTAGCCAAAGAATGTGGTGCGGTGCATCCAGAGATGCTATCCTCAACCAAACTTAGAAAGCACATAGCTACTATGTCTACAGTTCTCAATATGAAAGAGAATGAGATGGACATACTTGCCAACTTCCTCGGCCATGACATTCGCATCCACAGGCAATATTACAGACTACCAGAGGGGACACTGGAGCTGGCCAAAATCAGCAAAGTGTTGATGGCCATGGAGCAGGGAAGAGTGACGGAATTCGAAGGAAAGAGCCTCGACCAGATACAAATTGAGCCTGAAGGTAATTCTTGATATTATTAAAATATGTATGATTTTTTTCCCCTAAAGGCCACTTGTATTTTTATTTTCTGTGCGACAGGGAGAGCAGTAGAGATCCTCTCACAAACGGACGGGCTAAAAGAAACTTCAAGCGGAGAACCTTCAACCATTCATCCAGATGCACCCCATGGTAGTGGCAGTGCCCCTTCTGGTAAGTGTACCAGGTGGGGGATTACAGCCAGGCTGCTTGGTCCTCACCCTGGGAGTGTATATTGCTAATATATTTTTATTTCTCTCCCTAGAACGTGTAAGAAAGCCATGGTCTGCATCTGAGGTGAAGGCTGTGGAGAAGACCATGACACCTTTCATACAGACTGGAAAGGTCCCTGGGAAGTCTCACTGCCTGGCCTGCATTAATGCCTCACCAGATGACCTTAGACATCGGACATGGAGTGGCATTAAATTCTATGTCAAAAATAGAATCACTGCAATTCGAAAACAAAATCTAAAATAAAATTCCTTTAAAATAGTTGTTTGGTTTCTATTGACTGTTTTGTATTACTTAAAGTCTTGGTAAAAAAAGATTATGTCTATGGGTCCCATTCTGAACGGCCCTGTCAAAGGGACCCACCAGGTAACAAAAACGTGTATGTGTGGGTGTGCAGAAAGTGTTTTGAGAAAAAAACCCAAGTGTTTAGGCTGTAGGACCAGGCACACGTTGAAAATCAGACTAAGTGTTTTGAGAAAAAACCTAAGTGTTTAGGCTGTAGACCCAGTGTAGACCAGGCACACTTTGAAAATCAGACTAAGTGTTTTGAGAAAAAACCTAAGTGTTTAGGCTGTAGGACCAGGCACACGTTGAAAATCAGACTAAGTGTTTTGAGAAAAAACCTAAGTGTTTAGGCTGTAGGACCAGGCACACGTTGAAAATCAGACTAAGTGTTTTGAGAAAAAACCTAAGTGTTTAGCTGTAGGACCAGGCACACGTTGAAAATCAGACTAAGTGTTTTGAGAAAAAAACCTACACGTTGAAATCAGACTGTTTGAGAAAAAACAGTGTCTAGACTGTAGGACCAGGCACACGTTGAAAATCAGACTAAGTGTTTTGAGAAAAAAACCTAAGTGTTTAGGCTTTGAGGAGCCCGGAAAGCGGGGCTTACTTCCCCGGGAATGGGCGCCCAGGCCCGGATCTGAGCGGGAGCAAAGCCCGCCCCGGTGGTAGCCCAGGTCCGGAGGAGTGCGTGGGTCCAAACCCCGTGTCTCTACCCTCATGGTTCGTTTTCTACGAGCCATGTAAGCCGAGGTTCTCCTCCCCCAGAAGGAGCGCTCTTGGGCGGATGGCAGGCGCGCGGTCCCCCGGTGGTTTCCAAGGGCCATAACTTTCTGGTCCTTTGTCCCCCGCGCGTCAAATTCACACCGCGGGTACCCCTGGACCAGGGGAGTCCCTGGGTCCAGACCGCGAGTCTCTGGGCCTCTGCGTTGATTTTTAACGAATTTCCGGAGGCTCTCCCTGTATTCCCAGGCACACACGCTTTTGGAGCTCAAGCCCCTTTTACGCAGGCCGTAACTTTTTTGTCTTTCATTTCCCATGAGTGAAATTCACGGAGGATGTAGCCCAGGTCCGGAGGAGTGCGTGGGTCCAAACCCCATGTCTCTAGCCCCCGTGGTTCGCCTTCGACGGGCCCGAGAAACCGCCACTTTCTTGACCGAGAATAGGCGCTCGTGAGCGGACACGGCCGCGCTGTCGCCCCGGTGGTTTCCAAGGGCCATAACTTTCTGGTCCTTTGTCCCCCGCGCGTCAAATTCACACCGCGGGTACCCCTGGACCAGGGGAGTCCCTCCTCCTCCTCATCACCTCTCCATCACTCTGCATCACTCTCCATCACCACTCCATCACCTTCTCCATCACTCCTCCATCACCTCCTCCATTCACCTCCTCCAATCACCACCTCCATCACTCCTCCATCACCTCCTCAATCACCTCCTCCATCACCTCCTCCATCATCCTCCTCCATCCCCTCCTCATCACCTCCTCCATCACTCACTCATCACAACAAACTGAGGACTTACAGTGCAGTGTGCGCTCTGCAGAGAAGTGATCGGCCGCTGCCCTTTCCAACGCTTCCATCGTTGTTTTTTGTTTTAAATGTTCCTGCTGGCAATGCAGATGTATTTTGGAACTCCAAACCACAAAAGCTGTATATCATTTTAAAGCTTATTTTCTTATCATACATTAACATACAAAGTGTAAACTAATCAGACTTTGCGTTCAAAAGATATAACACATTAATGTGGGCACAAATAAATTAAATATTCGGAAATAGTTCTTACCTTTGGCTTGTGCTGGTACAAATTAATTCAGCTCTCCTCCCAGCTTCAATACATATTCTCTCCTGGAACGTCCAAAGGAAAATTATATCCACTTGTATTTCCAAAGTAAAATCAATTCTGCAGAGAATCAAAAATGTGCATTTATCTTAGCGAAAAAAAAAACGAAAAAAAAAAAAATAAAAGAGCACAGTTGTTTACTCTTTCACTTTTGTTAACGGACATTTGCTTTGTTTTTTCACCAATACATCTGGGTATCTACGTGTTCCTTAGCTCCTTATCTTTCAAATGAGACTACTCCCGAAAAGCTTTAGACAATTTTTGGGTCGGCAATAGGATCCGCTAATTACGCTAGTGTAACAGGTGTTAAAGGTGGTTTAAAACCTGATAATAGGATCGGTGCAATTGTGTTTAGTAACGTACTCGCTAGTGTTGTTAGCTCATGTATGTCTTTTATTTTTTGGTCGTTTTCTGGCCAAAATTGTCACTTCGGTTGCCTTGGTGGTATATTTAAGTCATGCTCGCCCTTCCTTCTTTTCTCTTTCCCCTGATGTCTAATGAGAATGTAGCTGGTTTTAATATCTAAGAGGCATAGTGTATTTAATATTAACATCTATGTAATTTCATCTGTCTTTTTTGTTATTACGTCTGTTTTTGTGTCATTCCCTGTATATAGTTAGTACGTATGTGTTTTCTGTTTCCTCTGTTTTATGCTTCTGGTTGGCGTGTTGGGCACACACATGGTTTGGGGCTAACCCATTTGATTTTATATTCCTTCGCCAGGTATGTAATGTACATTTAATGTTTGGCTCTCTTTCCCCTGATGTCTAAGAGAAAGGGCCGTGGTTGGGCACACACTTGATTGGGCTAACGCCTTTATTTTAATTCCTTCGCCAGGAAATAAAAGGGTTTCGGCGTTGCCATCCCAATGCAGCCATAGTCAATCTTCTCTGGGTCAGAGCACCGTACACATTGCAGGGTAGCTTATAGCACAGGTCCATTGGTGCCGTGGACATCCGTTTTGGACCGGACAGACGACGTCGGGTGAACGGTGCATGTACTCGGTTCCAGGACATTCGCCCTGTACCACCGTCGGCCTCGCCGCTGGAGTCGCCATCGCCACACGTGGGGCTGTCGGCGCTCGAACCAACGGAGGCTGAAAATTGCATCACCTACGCCAGCGTCTACTTCACGCCGCGGGGATGGCATCGGGAGGAGCTGCGCACGCCTGCCATGGTCGGCCGAGGGCGCGGGGGTGTTGGTGTCCCCTCTCCCGTTTCCTTTGAGTGGTTGGGTTAGTAGTGTTGACCGAGGCAGAGCTTTCGCCTTAGTAGTATGCAATGAGTGTTTTGGTGTGTGCCTAAGTGCAGTACGGGACAAGTGGGTGTTGATGGAAACTGTGGTGGGTTTGAACCTGATGAGCGGACATTGATGCAACAGATGGGGTCACATGTTAGCTGTTAAATATTGTGTCTAGGGTTGATCATCAGCTCTTCCGGCGAGTTCTCCCAGGGCTACTGATTCGTCTCCACAAGCAAGGTTCATGAAAACCGTCGTAGTTTGAACCTTTCAAATGTCGACATTTATGAAAAGCGGTGCCAAAGAGCCCACGTGTGTTTAGAGGGGGATGGTCAGATGTGTTGGCCTGTCGATGAATGGGAGTGGGACTTGATGAAGGTTTATTCTCGCAAAAGATAAATGTTACCGTCGGCGTGTGTACGGAGATAGTCGAGGACCTTGATCTATTTAAGGGCGAAGGCTAGAAATTGTCGTGAAATTTGGACTTAAAAAATGGAGGGTCTGGATTCCACACAAGGGCGCCGGAAGCTATTTACGGGTGCTTTTGCTTAAACATTTTGGCGCCGGGGCCCTGTTACTCCTCGTCCCCCTCGATGATTCATAAGGACACTGTCGAACATAGAACTTTCTTACACATTTCCGGGTCTTAAGATTTCGATAAGTGGTCGGGCTCGCGATGTCCAGGAGGTGTGGGACGGAAGTACCATTTAGAACATAGCTCCAGGGAATCGGTGTAATGAACACAGTTACTGTGAATAAAAGTGATGTTGCCGCTGAGGTGCCCCCCGCTGCCAACGTAATCCGACCATTCTTATGGTTTGAGAAACTCGCGCCATGTTAGAAAAGGTTTTGTCACAAACTCAGATGGGCCCAGGTTGCTAGGAAGTCCTGCGTCGAGACACACGGTGTATCCCAAGATGGTCGGTTGTAACAGCAATGACGTGTGCGGTCTGCTAAGGATGTGTCTCACACGCGTACACGTCATTGTATGTAAGCTTAAACTGTGTTTGCGATGCACGCGCAGGGCCACTCCCGCCAGCCGAATGTCCGGGCGTTTAACACTTCTCCCTCCGGGCCTCAGGGAAACTAGCCAGTCTGCCGTTGAGGGGAGGGACAGCGCAGATAGGGATTCTCCACCTCCCACAATGGACAGTTGCAGTAACGGTTCGGGCTCGCCCGTGTAGGTTTACGGTGACAAGGTGCGTTGGGCAAGACCCCAAGTTGTACAAGTACTGCAGAGGACTTTCAGAAAAACAGACTCGTTATTTCACACTGGGACGTTAGTATGGACAACTGTTTTGGTCCTCTAGGCCTTAGTGGACAGTGGGTCTATGGCGTGCACTTATTAGCGCAACAGTACTGATTCAATGCTGCAGAGGGATTTTTCGGAGATGACAGGAAGCGATGCGGACGAGTATGTCATCGTGAGGCTGCGGAGGTCAACCGGTAATGCCTACAGTATGTCGGACCTCTCTGTTTTAGTGTACGGTGTCAAATTCATTGTCCCAGTCCTAGTAGTTCCAGGCCATTCAGTCCGGACTGCATGATCCTGGGGAGCAACGTTTTGAAATTGGATCATGATGCAGATCGGAAAATGGTGCATAGACTCGAGAGTAAGTTGGGCGCTTTGGCAAAGATGTACCAAGCTGCTATCGCTCTTGTCCCATACAGTTTGCACCGTACTGAGCTTCGCCTTTGGATTTAGGGACTGCAAAGTTTAAAAAAGGTGTGTTACATTGCAGCCTTTGACTGAGATTTAGTGTGGGCTTAAGTTACCGTATGTAGAGCTTCGGCGGGTTGGGCGCTCTCCGTTTCGTAGAAACCTACTCGATCTAAGACTGAGGACCAGCGCAGCAGATCTTAGTGGGGTGAGTTGTCACCATCTGTATGGGAGGTGTGGGTTCCCGTTAAAATTGTAAATCCCACGAATGATGAAACCTTGTACTGGAATAAAAAATGCCAAACTCAGTGGTCGTTTCGCCCTAGTTTGTCAGTACAGGATCTACGGAGCCACAACCGTGTTCAGTCAAAACACCAGCGCACGATGGAGACTCAGTTGTTTTGAAAATGAGGAGAGTTAAAAGGCACTCATGGACATGGGACTCCCGGAAGTTTAACATAACGTCTTGTTGAGGTGTCATTGGAAGTGGAAGGAACAAGCTACTCTATCCTGATCGAGCGATACGGACTCCACGACTGTGTGGCGCTGTTGCCTCGGTTACTGCCTGACGTGAGGAATAAAAGTTGTACTGAAATTGCATCCTGAGTTCGAGTGCAGTCAATACATGGTACCAGGAGTAAATTAAGGACATTTACACAAAATGAACAACATTCGACCACCAGAAGAGTTGAAACTCTCGGGGAATGTGAACGAAAACTGGAAATCCTTCAGGCAGAGTTTTGAGCTGTATTTGTTGGCAGCTGGCCTCGATGACGCGGACGAAAAGCGCAAAGTAGCATTGTTGCTAACGGTTGCGGGCCGCGGAGCACTGGATGTGTTTAACACATTTCAATTCGACGATGAAGATTATGGATTGAATGATGTTGTGACAAAATTTGAGGACTACTGCACGCCACGAAGAAATGAAACCTATGAACGGTACGTGTTCAGAAACAGGATGCAAAATGAAAACGAGTCCATAGAGCAGTATGTAACAGATCTACGTCTCAAAAGTCAGTCCTGTAATTTTGGTACTCTCTGTGATTCAATGATACGTGACCAAATTGTGATTACAGGACAAGAGGGTGAGGATGCTATTGCTAAAAGAAACGGATCTCACGGTGTAGAAAGCCGTACGCATTTGTCAAGCATCCGAGAGCACTAAGTTACAGCTAAAAACTTTTGACAATGACTGTGAACCAGCGACTGTGGACGCCATAAAGAAAGGCGCCAGAGAGACAGAAAAGAGGCGTTTTAGAGACACTAAAGACAAAAAGAGAGACAAAAGGGACTGTGAAAGATGCGGAAATAAGCATGCCCCAAAGCAATGCCCAGCATATGGAAAAGACTGCAGGAAATGTGGTGGCAGAAACCACTTTGCAAAGTGCTGTTTCGCAAAGAGAAAAGTCCACATGGTGAGACAGGACAAGACGGCGAGCAGCGGTGACGAGGAAGGACCTCTGTATCTGGATGCAGTTACACTAACGGACATGGACGGTACTGAGGATGAATGGATTGCACATCTAAATGTCAACGGTGTTGAAGTGCCACTGAAAATTGACACTGGTGCAGAGATAAACGTTTTGCCATTAAAATATTTTAACAAACTGAGTCCAAAACCGCAAGTGAGGCCAAAGAAACTGAACTTGAGAGCATACAACAACCAGCCTATTTCCCACAAAGGAGTGTTTCGAGCAACTATCAAAGGGGACGGTCGTTCCTGCAATGCTCTGTTTGTCCTTGTGGAGGAGGAAAGACAACCGATACTAGGACTCAAGGCAAGTAAAAAGATGGGACTAATCAAAAGGATTAATGTTATCGATGGCACAGTTCTTAATACTGCCAATTCACAACAGAAAAACGCAAAAGAAAGTCCGAACACAAAAAATGAAACTGTGAAAAAGTACAGTGATATTTTTCATGGTGTTGGCTGTCTACCAAACAAATACAAAATACAGCTAAAGGACAATGCAGAACCAGTGATACACGCAGCAAGAAAAGTGCCTGTAGCACTCAAAGAGAGACTAAGAAAGGAGTTACAGACACTCATTGCCAAAGGAATTATCAGGAAAGTTGAGGAACCGACAGACTGGGTGAATTCTCTTGTTATTGTGGAAAAGAAAAACGGAGATCTGAGATTGTGCATAGACCCAAGAGATTTGAATAAGTGGATCAAAAGAGAACATTTCAAGTTGCCTACGAAGACAGACATTACAAGTGCAATGGCAGGTGCACGTTACTTTTCCAAACTGGACGCGTCATCAGGTTTCTACCAAATTGAACTGGATGAGGAAAGCGCAAAATTGTGCACGTTCAATACGCCCTTCGGAAGGCATTGTTTTCTGCGCATGCCTTTCGGGATTGCATCTGCACCTGAAGTTTTTCACCGGACTGTTCAACAGATGTTCGATGGTGTGGAAGGAGTTGGAGTATTCCTTGATGACGTGGTCATATGGGGAACCACACGAGCTGAGCATGACGAGCGTTTGGCAAAAGTAATGGAAAAAGCAAAGCAAGCAGGGCTGAAACTGAATAAACAAAAATGTCAGTTTGGGGTGAGTGAAATAACTTACCTGGGAGACAAACTGTCTGCTGCAGGGATACAGCCGGATCCTGAAAAGGTGAGAGCAATCACACACATGCCCATGCCCGAAAACAAGACAGACTTGCAGAGAGCTTTAGGCTTAGTCAACTATGTAGGCCGTTTCATTCCGAACCTGTCGGCTAACACAAAAGCACTACGTAGCCTGCTGGAAAACGGCATAGAATGGCAGTGGAGCCATGAGCACGACACAGAATGGGAGATGCTCAAGAGCAGCCTTGTGAGAGAGCCAGTGCTGAAATTTTATGATCCTGCACTTCCAATCAAAGTTTCCACAGACGCTTCCAAGGACGGTTTAGGAGCGGTGTTGCTTCAGCAGCATGAGGACACATGGTTTCCAATTGCGTATGCCTCTCGCACTATGACAGCAGCAGAGAGAAACTACGCACAAATAGAAAAAGAGACTCTGGGAGCGGTATTTGGATGTGAAAAGTTTCATGAGTACATTTATGGACAAGAAGTGGTGCTAGAGACGGATCACAAACCGCTGATCGCAATCTCCACAAAACCTCTAGGAGAGGCACCACCACGCATTCAACGCCTGCTGCTCCGCCTTCAAAAATACAGTCTCACATTTGAGTTTACACCTGGGAAACACCTCGTTATGGCAGATGCTCTCAGCAGAGCTTCTCTAGACTGTAAAGAGCCAAGCAGCACTGAACATGATGTGCAAGTGCATGTGGATGCAATAAGGAAGCACATGGCTGTGTCAGACAAAAAATGGAAACAAATCGCGAGAGCTACATCAAATGACGACACACTGCAAAAGGTGATCAAAAAGATTTGTTCACCAGGAGAACAAAACTTGAGCCACCCATACCAAAACTTCAAAGAGGAGTTGTCCGTGATGGAAGGAGTTCTTCTGAAAGGAAAGAGGATTGTCATACCAATTTCAATGCGCTCACAAATGTTACATCTCACACATGAAGGACATTTAGGCATTGAAAAGTGCAAAAGACGTGCAAGAGCCTTACTCTACTGGCCACAAATGAACAAAGACATTGAAAGTTATATCCAACGCTGCGACACATGTCAACAACACAGATACCGACAACAAAAGGAGCCACTCCTAGCCCACAGCAGACCAAATGAGCCTTGGAGAAAGGTTGGCGCAGACTTGTTTCACCTGGCAGGGAAAGATTACCTTGTTATGGTGGACTACTTTTCAAACTACCCAGAAGTTGCTTTTCTCACAGATACTACTGCAAAACAAGTAATCAAACACTGCAAAGCCATTTTTGCAAGACACGGAATCCCTGTGACAGTGGTAAGTGATAATGGACCTCAGTTCAGCAGCCAAGAGTTCAAGGACTTTGCTGACAGTTATGAGTTCAACCACGTAACATCTAGCCCACTGTTTCCACAGTCAAATGGCTTGGCAGAAAAGGCAGTGCAGATTGTAAAAAGACTGTTCAAAAAAGCAGCAGAAACACGCAGTGACATTTACCTAGCGTTGCTTAACTACCGGACTTCGCCACTGGAGTGTGGAAAATCTCCAGCTGAACTTCTGATGAGTAGAGAACTGAGAACCCGTTTACCTTCAGCTTCACTCTTGCTGGAAAAGGAGGAAGAACAGCGTACAAATCAAGCCAAACAAACCCAGGCTTACAACAAAACTGCTAAACCATTAAGCCCACTATCACAAGAGGACGTGGTACGTGTCAGGTGTGATGGGAGATGGGGACCTGTTGCAAAGATTATAAGAGAGACGGCACCTAGGTCCTATGAAGTCATCACTGAGTACGGCAGCACACTGAGAAGGAATCGACGTCACCTACTAAAAGTACCAAAAACATCTTTTGTGGAGCTCGAGAACAGACGAGATGGACTAATGAAAAACACCAATCCAAAGCGTCCAACTTCCACACAAGGTACCAGTGACATTGTGCATGCTCCAAGTGACACCACCAATGGGACACCTGCAAATGCAGTGCAAGAAAGACCACGCAGAAACATTGTGAAACCTAAAAGACTTATTGAGGAATATTGACTGAGATATACAAAAAAAAAAAAAAAAAAAAACTTGGATATAAAGGTTAAAGGTACATGTTTTATTTGTTTTACATGTATGCCTTATGTTAAAAAAAAAAAAAAAAAAAAGACTGTTTTATTGACATGCTTTCAATTGTCATGTAAGACCATGTTTTCTTATGGTACTGCTATATACGGATTATATATATATATATAAAAAGTATATATTGATTTTGTCCATATTGTTACATTTACATTTAAAAAAAAAGGGAGATGTACTGATACTATGCATACATCCATCCACTGTGTGGCGCTGTTGCCTCAGTTACTGCCGGACGTGCTGAATAAAAGTTGTACTGAAATTGCATCCTGAGTTCGAGTGCAGTCAATACATTTTTCACCCAAACATCTGGTATCTACGTGTTCCTTAGCTCCTTATCTTTCAAATGAGACTACTCCCGAAAAGCTAGACCAATTTTTGGGTCTGCAATAGCTCCCGTAAGTACCGCTAGTGCTGCTGTTTGCGCATGGTTCACTGATCTTTGTTGTGATCCCAACTTGTTTGCTTTTACTTCCGGGATTTACGATTGACATGTCCTTGTAGCCAATGAGGAAAGCTTTCGAACAAGGGGTGGGACAATGGTGTCTTGACTTATGTTGTGCCTTGACAATTGTGCGTAATGGCAGCCAAAAGACGCTCTCGAAGCTGCAATGAATTTACACTCATAAAAAAATAACTTTGACATTTAAAAAAGAAAAACACACATAGATTAGTAGCTTATAAGTACCAATAATAAAAAAATATTGTTTTTATGATGATTAAATGTAAGTAAAGATATTTGGCACAATTTGGCACACTTGTGCCAAATTGTGCCAAATGTGCACTACTTGATGAAAAGGAGAAACTGCATAAAAACTATAAAACTTAGAAGTCTGAAACTTTAGACAGTTGTTGTCAACAACACAATGAACAGAGGGTTTGAATATTGTGAACTTACAATGAAGTATGCCTTTTTTAGGGCCTTTAGAAATTGAAAATGTTAGGCGAGGCTAAAAACATTGGGGTTTTTTCCCTAACTTCAAAGGATGCAGAGGAAAATAGGAATGACAAACATTATTTTAGTGTTTTTTTACATAAACTAGAAGGCTCTAGCTTTAAAATGATGCATCACACAAGCATGTGAGATGTAAGATGTGTTTTTAAATAAGCAAAGACATTTGGGTATGCCCAACCATTGTGCACAAGCCAAAATGAGGCGGATGTTAAGAGGTTAAAAGTTATTGACCATAAACGTCACCATGTCACGTTTTTGGATAAGGTGTAATATCTTAAATGGAAAACATTTGGTGAAAAAAAGTACAAAAGGTAAAGCAAACGCAACTGTCCATGCTGCCACCAGAAAGAGTTGAATTAGTTTTTTTTTTCTGTACCATTACAGGACTAAGACAGGAGCTTTTAGACAAAAGGGATGGAGTTGTCAGGATATTATCTAAACTACTCCAGGTCTGGTTTTACGAGAGAATACTGTTGCATAGCTCAACAAAAGTTTGCAGATCATGTCTCTGTTTAATTCAATGGTCACATTTAAACGAGTGTAATGTGTGCAAATACCAAGGTTTTTTTATTTAATAGTATATATTTTATACTATATTACATTATACATAATACAGAACATTAAATATCATAACAATGTACAATTACAGAATTATACATTATAATAAACTTATAATGCATGATTTCCATGAGGCTTTACCTGACTTCTGTCCTGTGTATTTCTAACATCCAGGTTGCCTTGTCTCCATTGCCTTGAGGTGTCTTTTCGCACTTGGACTGAGTGCGGTTTACATTTCTGCACTCACTTGGCACTGGTCAAATCCTTTCACACAAATATCACATATATTTCAGCTCCACACCCAGAGGACCTTTTCTGAGTGTAGGTTTTATCAGTGGGACTTTCCCCCGCCGTGCCGTCACTAGGTTTAACTTTCCAGAAGGTGCAACAAGGAAACTCAAAAAAATCTATTCACCATGGCCATGAAAATCTTTTGGAACATTGGTAATTTTAGAAATCCACAAAATTATTGTAGTCCGTTCCAACTTTGACATGGGTTGGAAAATCTGCACAAATTGGAATTCACCTCATTGCGCAGATGGCAATAATTGAGGTGAATTTAACTTATCCTCAGTTTCCTTCAGATCAAACAAATAATCTTCAAATTTGTGGTGGAGATTTCTGACGATGCTGATGATTGCTCCACTACATGCAATTTCCCCTTGGGGACAATGTTTTTGACTTGAGTTGAGGTGAAGGGGATGTTAGTGTCCCTTGTCATCCTTAACTTTTTTTCTTCTTAAATCCTTCGGTTTTGTTTAAATCCACACTTTAGTGCCACAAACTCTGCTTTTCTGGCTCTCGCTCTAACTCCCGCTCTGATGAACTGCTCTGATTGGTCAGAGCGTGGCCGAGCCCCTCTGTGCACGTGCGTGAGACCCGGTGTGAGACCCACACACGCGTATTTGGTGCAATGCATTATGGGAGATCATCCACTGCACAGAACCGGGAGAACCAGACGATGCCCAAATACAGAAGAGTTTCCCAGAGATCTTTGAGAGTTTCCCATAGATCTTTGAGAGTTTCCCATAGATCTTTGAGAGTTTCCCATAGATCTCTGAGAGTTTCCCATAGATCTTTGAGTTTCCCATAGATCTTTGAGTTTCCCAGAGATCTTTGAGAGTTTCCCATAGATCTCTGAGAGTTTCCCATAGATCTTTGAGAGTTTCTCATAGATCTTTGAGAGTTTCCCATAGATCTTTGAGAGTTTCCCATAGATCTTTGAGAGTTTCCCATAGATCTTTGAGAGTTTCCCATAGATCTTTGAGAGTTTCCCATAGACCTTTGAGAGTTTCCCATAGATCTATGAGAGTTTCCCATAGATCTTTGAGAGTTTCCCATAGATCTTTGAGAGTTTCCCATAGATCTTTGAGAGTTTCCCATAGATCTTTGAGAGTTTCCCATAGATCTTTGAGAGTTTCCCATAGATCTTTGCGAGTTTCAGGCGACTTCCGCTAATCTTTCAGCCCCCATGCCGTCGCAAAGCGCCACTGAGCACAACCATTCATTTGAATAGGGCGCCATCTTGGATCGCCGGGGCTTGGTCTGAACGCAGTCTTGTCTCCACACAATTATCAAGTGCCTGAGACGTTTGGAGAGATCCGGTCATTTATTAAACTAAAGTATTCTGGCAGTCTGGTGAACGACTGAGAGTTGAGGAGCTCTGTCTTTGACAGTGCTCCTCAACTCAAAGGCCACCGTACATTGGTAGACTGCAATATGAGATCTCAACACTAGATGGCACTAAATATTACACAGTGTACCTTTAATCTATATAAATAACAATTACAAGCTCATGTGATAGAAGATATTTCTATCACATGAGCTTCTAGAAAGCAACACAACCTGCTGCATGCTGCCAATAAAGTTTAGTTTCATTTTTAGCTTTCATTACACAATTTTCTTTGCCCAAATACATGTAACACACACATACGTGTGTGTTATTTACTTTACTGTATTTAAGTGACTAGGGCAGGGGTCGGCAACTCAAAAAGTTCAAAGAGCCATATTTGACCAGAAATACAGAAAACAAATCTGTCTGGAGCCGCATAAACGTAACTGCCTTGTATAAGGCTTATATGCAACACAGGCTGTGAGCTGTATTAGCCTAGTATCAAAATGACTAAGTATAGGCTACAAATACATAATATGCATTCATGATTATTATATGTATTTTCACTGTAGTGCAAGAGAGTGACGCACCATGTGACTACTCTGCTATACCATATGCTTTAAGTTTAACTTTCCTTTGGTTGCGTTCATGTAATTGTAGAAATACAGTAAATAAATCCGTTTTTGGCTCAGAGTTCACACACCTGCATTACAGAACTGTCTGTTTATATCCATCACGTCACACGTCGTCACGGCTGGAGTTGGCTGGAGCTGAATGTCCCGAACGGTGTTTCGCACTTCTTTGTTCCTCGTATTGCAACAAAATTCAGTAGAAGTTTGGAGATGAATCCGCTCCAGAATAACTGCGATCGCACTGTTTCTCTCCAAACTGGGGTCAGCAGCCGATTTTCCACATGACTCTTTTTTCTGAGAAATGAATGAATGAAAAGTGTGGTGTACGAGCAGAGTGACCGGAGCCAAGCAGGAAGTGTATGTTGGTGTTTTTTGGTGATAAAGTAAAGTCTGATTCTTGAGTAACGGTTTGAAGAGTTATTGGAATAGCACCACATTGTGACAGCGAGGGTCAAATCAGAGGAACTCTCCCTTGGGAAATTCTTTCCTTTGGCCCTAGCGCCACAATTCTGCCCTACACCTCTTTATCATGGCCCGGGGGCTCACATGAAACAACACAAGGGAGAGTAGAATGCAAAAGTATCCCACTGCTAGGTAGAGACATGTGTGAAAATGCACATCATAGTGGGTGCAGAAGGAACACGTAATGTGACGCACAAACCAACGTCCCCACTCCCCACCTACCATCCTCATCTGGGATCGTGCCCAAGCCCAATTAGCACGGTCACACGGCGCCTAAAGGTCAGATCTGATCATGGCCTGGGCCTAGGTCCACCTTTACTGGGCTTTAGGCTATGACTGTGACCGCAGCCTGAGCATAAATCCAAAGTTGACAAATGGTGTGGTCTCATGTCACTACAGATATGTGTATTTTGTTAAAAGTATGCCTTATTTTGACTTAAATCTTTTACTACTAGTATTTCATCATAGTGCCAAAGCAAATTCTCGGAATGTTTGTTCCCCAACAATAAAAAAAAAAACATTCTGATTCAGAAAAGTTTGGATTGTTGACTAAACAATTGTGCTGTTGTTTTTCCAGACGGAGTGTGACTTGGAAAAGGGTTTGGAGATGAGGAAGTGGGTGCTGTCTGGGATCCTGGCCAGCGAGGAGACGTATCTCAGCCACCTGGAAGCACTGCTGTTGGTGAGAAAAACACAACTTGTGGCTTGATGTTGATCAGATTAGATCACCTTGTGATTCCAATTGACATGAAAAGAATGGGGCTTTTAGAGGACGTCCATTTAGTCGTTTTTGTCAAACAAGTTATTATACAAGAGCTGTCTATTCCACATGTTTTTTTTCCCATTTGGCTGTTTATCTATAGGTCTGTGAAGTCTTAGTCGTCAACTGACATATCTATGGATTAACTATTTTATGCATTGGAAAATGGTCCAACTAGCTGTTGTTGCTTATCCATGATGTTGGAATGACTAATGAGACCCTTATTCAATTCATTAATAACTCCAGCAGTACTATAGTTTAACCTCACTCTGACAACTTGTTAAATATCTCTCTCCATACCCAATCTATGGTTAGTGTACAATCTGCTGCAATCTGCAATGCACTTTACAAATGTGAGAATATTTGATCTTCTAGGTTGGTTTCATTTCATAGTATGGTCTGGATTTCCTCCATTGAGCTCTGTTAACATTTGGGAGGGGTTATCTCCTTTTGCAGATTGAAACGATTGGATCTGGTTTGCCATGATGTATGTAATGCACCCAAATGAGTGAGCATTTAGCCTAGCTTTAGCCATCTCCTTTGCCACTAATGGAGCCTGTCCGGGAGTAGGTACTCTGCTGTTCAGCCCCGGGATTCACTGCTCACCGCGCAGACAGAGTAAAGGAGACCACAGGGAAAACAAGAGGTGGAGGTGTGTGCTTTTTTATTAATCAGCGCTGGTGCACGGACACTCTCATCGTGAACGAAACATGTCCTGCCCATCTGGAATGCCTAGTTTTAAGCCGTCACCCTTTTATCTTCCACAGGAGTTTTCGCTGGTATTTGTATATGCTGTTTACATCAAAGCGGACTATACTGCTGCTCTTTATGATCTGAGCGAGATCCTGTACAAATATGAGGCTGCTCATCCTAATGCAGTCATCATTTCAAAAAATTTAATTTAAAGACTGTACTCCCAAACTTGAAGGGACTTGAAGGGAGCCTACAGGTCCAGTCTCAGACTTCCTTTTGGGGATTCTGACCATTCCTTTGCTCTGCTTCTTCCATCATACACACAGAGGAGCAGGCAACATAAACCAACTTCTCGCACTGTGCAGTGCTGGTCTGAAGAGGCCTACATTAAGCTACAGCTGCTTTGATGCCACTGACTGGTCTGTCTTTCAGTCTGATAATGTAAATGCATTCTTTGAAGCTGTGACTGGATACATACACTTTACAACATTTTAGTCAAAACCCATGGATAAGCACAAAAGTGAAACTGAAAATTCATACAAATTCATGCTTACAAGTTACCATGCTACACCTTGAAACATTCTGTTAAATCTACAAAGCGCAGTTACGGGGACAGGTGAAAGGGTTATTTTGAAGAAGATGACCCTAGACACATGTGAATCGGTATAAAAGCCATCAAGTTCTGGAAACCTAGAGCTGGAAAAATGTCCTCAGTTAGCCAAGCTCTGCCGAATGAGCTTCACACTTTCTACTGTCACTTTGAATCTATTGATGCCTGTCCTGCTGTAATCCCTGATTGTTTCAATCAAGGTGCCTTCACCGAGGAAGTCCAGCAGGTCTTTTCCAGGACAACAGTCTGGAAAGCTCAAGGGCCAGATGGCATTCCTCCTCGTGTCCTGAAACTGTGCTCTGAGCAACTTGCCTCTTTTTTAACAACAGACATTTTCAACCTGCCGCTAAGGAACTGTACTGTACAGCTTTAAAGAGTCGACCATCATCCAGCTCTTATTAAATCGTCTGTGACATGCCTCAAAGACTATCGTCCTGTAGCCCCTCTCTGCCTCTGCCATGAAGACATTTTAGCGACTTGTGTTGGACATCATTGAAACCAAGATCCCTGTTTATTGTTTATTGTTTATTGTTTATTGGGGATCCCCATTAGCTTCCACCAAAGTGGTTGCTAATCTTCCTGGGGTCCCAGTTAAGACGACTGTATTACAAACAATAAAATAAAATAAAAAAACAAAAAAATCAATACATTCATTAATACAGTACATTATTCAATACAATACATGAATTCACTACCATACAGTTAAAAGCATAGATCAAATAGATCAATTAGATCAATTGCCAAGTCAGCATCTGTAAACAACACAAGGCATCAAGCCATGCATTATAATGATGCATTGCACATTTGATATTTGAGTTTTCTTTTAAAAATATGTAGAGAAGTTTGATCTCTCATCTCCCTAGGAAGCTCATTCCAAAATTGAGTCGCTCTGGAAATAACAGTCCTTTTCAATGATTTTGTTCTGGGCCGATTGACGACCAAGTCAGCATTTTGAGCCTGCCTAGTAGAATGGGCAATCCCTGTGAGTTTTGACCTGCTCCAGTTTGCCCACAGAGAGAATAGGAGCGTTGAGGATGCGCTGAAATCTGTGCAAAGTCACTTGGACAATACTGAATTTATTGCAAGAATGCTTTTCATTGATTTATGAACGATGCCATTATTATAAATGCCATGTGTAAATGGATTTTTAGCTTTTCAAAATTTTAGCTGAGTCAAAATCAATGACTGTTTTTCAGATGTTGTTTCTGTGAAGATCTGTTTTTTACATTGTACACTCATGATTGTGTGTCTTCCTCTGACAACGATCCTTAAATACGCTGATGACACTTCCATCATCATCGGTCTCATCAGTGATAATGAAGAATCCTCTCATAGAGCAGAAATCCAAAGTGTTGTTCAGTGGAGTAAAGAAAACAACCTCCAGCTGAACGAATCCAAAATATGTGCACTTGTCTTTGATTGTAGCCGTAACAGCTCTCACACGCCTGTTATTGATAACTCCCTGCTGATTGTAGATGTACGTTTCTTGGTTTAACTAGGTCTAACAACCTGAAATGGGGAAAACACAAACGTTAAGAAAGCTTGCCAGCATGTCTATTTTTTGCGTCAAAAATCAAACATCACAAACTCTCAAGATCCCGCCTATCTTTTATCGCTGCACCATTGAAAGTTTACTGGTTTGGTGACTGTGGTTTGGAAACATCACAGATAAAGAGGAGAGCTCCAAACAAGGTGCTCCGCTCTGCAAAGAGGACCGTGGGCTGTGAGCTTCCTGTTCTGGAGGTTCTTTATAAATCCAGACTTTTAAACAAAGCTCTTAGAATGATCAATGACTCTTCTGGCCACCCTGGGAAAGCCATGTTCCAGCTTCTTCTCTCTGGCAGAAGATATTGTTCACTGAGATGCAGGACATCTCGATATGCTAACAGATTCTTTCCACAAGCTGTTATCAGTGTGAACAGAGCACTTTAATGATCTTGCACTTGTATTGAAACTCTTTTAGTTGAGATCAATTTCATAGTGACAATTGTGTTTGTTTAATTCCTGTACTTTTTATCTTCTTTTGTTCATGTACGTGTCTTGTGCACGTTGGGGACTTATGCAAAGTCTTTTCCAATGTGGTTTTACTGCCATTGGCCAATAAATTGAATCTGATACTAAATCTGAGGGTGACACAGGGGCTAATGGTGTGCATGCATTGGAGAAAATTAAATGTTGTATTATATTAAAACTATATTTAATTGCCCACCCACCTCTGCACCTTCTCCACCGACTCCCACTGATGACTGTTGTCGTTGTGTCCTTGGGCAAGACACTTAACCCCACTTTGCCCAAAGCCCCCACTGAAAGATCAAGGCTATGCTCACACTCAGAGAGCAGCCGTCCTCCTGTGGACTCACCACCTGCAGAGGGTCAGTGAGGGGCTGGTGCTATGAGACTTGGGTGGCATCTCTGACTGCCACCCCCCTGACCCAGAAATGGATTAAAGGGTAGAAAATGGACGGATGGATGGATGGATATATTTAATTGCAAAATATGAAAACTTTGTGAAAGGCTCATGAGTGAAGAGAGGTAAAGAGGCAGAATATACCTGTTTGTTTTTTTTTCTCAGGAAGCATAATTCTTCAGTCCCTTGTGCTGACTTACCTACATGATTTGCATGTTTTGATAATTTATATCAGTAATCTGCAGATATTTGGCACAGCTCTACTGAACTGTTGCACTTCACTTAATTGCATAGGTTTAGTTTCATTCCATAGCAAAGATATTAAAATGACCCACTGTCTTTACTCCTTCACCAGCCCATGAAACCGCTGAAGGCCGCAGCCACCACCTCTCAGCCCGTCCTCACTGTGGCTCAGATTGAGACCATCTTCTTCAAAGTGCCTGAACTATACGAAATCCACAAAGAGTTTTATGACGGTCTGCTTCCACGAGTGCAGCAGTGGAGCCACCACCAGAGAGTTGGAGACCTCTTCCAGAAGATGGTAAGTACATGCTCGCACATACAAGCTTATAAACTGCATAAAGGCATACAATCTAAGATGAAAGAACTTCTCACACAAAATCAATAAAATAAATGTACACACCCAGGTCAACATTACGTTCATAGGCCATATTTCAGCGCTTCTAATTTATTTTCACACAGCCATATATATTATGGAAATTAACAGAAAATTACCCTGACTAGAAGTTTACGTCCCCTTATTTTCAAAAGTTGTGTTATGAGGTTCTGTGTCCTCTCTAATGGTTAAGCTGCCCATTCTTTTGGCAAAAAGCTGGCAGTTCCTGTAAATTCCTTAGCCGCCTTGCATGAACTGCACATTTGCAATGGAACCCAAAATGGTTCAACGATCTTGTCATTTGTGTTTGTGTTATATTTTTCCCCATTTCTCAGCTTCATTCTTACATTAATTTTGTTTATTTTATATCTAGGGATGTACTGATACCACTTGATTTGAGTACCTTGAATATGAGCACTTGCCGATACCGAATACAACTGCATTGAGTTATCTCTGGGAATTCATACGACTGAAAGGTTTTATTTCTCATTTCAACAATAAGATAATCCTTTAACAGTTAAACATTTCTGTAGTAGTTTTATCAGTCAACAATAAGAGCAATAACTGTCATATTCCACCAAAAATATTCTGATAGACTGTTTGATATACGACACACGACTCATTTTGAAATGCAACCAACCGTGGACTTTTATTTTGAAAGCTTGGACCGCGGTTGGACCCGAAGATGAATTTCAAACCCCACATTAACTCCATTATCATAAGAACTAATGCCACAATGGGCCACCTTTTCTGATCGTCTCACTGTCGGAAAACAAATAATTACACCGCTGGTTTTACCCATCATCAATTATCTTTTACCAAAACAAATTTCACTTCCTTCTCAAACCACTAAATACATTTTCTTATTGTCTCTGTAGATTCATCCTCAAATGTCTGTATCACACTCATCACTGCCCTCTGTATAATAACCTTCACTGGCTACAACCCCACAAAGACGCACACATTTTCTCACCTTTTCTGTTCCGAGAGTTTTTTAAGAAGTTGGATGTAGATCTTTTCTTTTTTCTTTTTAAGGCTCCATCAGACTAGAATAAACTCCCCACATTCATTCAATCTATCATGTCTTTTTGTTCATTTAAGTTTGAATTATTTAGGTTCCTGTTTGTGTCACTAATGTTCTGTATTCTGTATGTATGTCATAATTGTTATAGTTTGACTTGGTATCTTTCTAAATGTAGAACTTTAGCAGAGGGGTGGAGTGGGGGGCAAAAGGAGCATATTTTTAATTTTTCTTGATTTATGTTTTAGGACTCCCTCAAAAATTGTATGATTCAAATAAAGGGGCTTTCCTTAAATAAATAAACTTAAACCTAAAAATTCCTATTTCAAAACATACAGCCAGCCTAGAGTAGTCCATTTATTTAATCCAGCTCTGTATGTGAACGTGACAAATTGTCTACAAGAAATTCCTTTGCACTCTTCCTGGAAAAATTGCCGGCCCGAATTTACTGAACTGGGTAATCATTTTCACAATGGCCCAATTAACCCACATTCAATCATCGACTAATTTCCTCAAAGTCTTACCCTCCTCAACACTCATCCACACTCCACTCATGGAAGCAGGCGGGACCACATCTTTCCTGGAGGCAACTCAGGCTTCATCACTTCAACAAGCTGCTATAAAAAGCATCTGTGCCTTCGTTCCGTCCTTCTTCTTTCATTTTTGACATGACACACATTTATTATGCATGTCTTCTAATAGAACAATGCTGCTGCAGCAACTACTGCAATGTCGGAATAGCAGATTATCTCCTTTATTTATCTGTCATATATTCATATGTAACATACATACTGTACATACACATATATGTAACATACATGTAACATACATGTTATATATAGGGCGGCTGTCAAACAATTAATAGTTTTTAATCGATTACATCTTAAAAATTAATCGTAATTAATCACATTTCAAACTATTGGCAGATTATTTTTCTGTAAATGGTTGCTTGAATGGAAAGATAAATGACAACATGGTGTACATACAGTATGTAGTGTATTTGTTTAGTATAACAAGAATAAATCCACATAAAATGGCATTAACATTATTAACATTGTCTTTCTGTTGAAGGCAGTATGTTTTCTAAGTTGTTTTAAAAGTTAACTAAAAGTTCAGCTCATTGGATCAGCTGTGTGTGAATTCAGAACATAAAAAGTGCTGAGTAGAAACTTTGCGTGGCGCTCGTTCTCCTAGGCCACGCCTCCTCTAGGCCACGCCTCCTCTAGGCCACGCCTCCTCTAGGCCACGCCTCCTCTAGCGTCTGCGGCATGTAAACAACAGCAGCATGGCAGGAGAAGGCTATACCTGCTCTGGCTGTAACTGCAGACACAGCAGTAAAACAGCCCAAACAACACAAAAGTGAGGAGGAGAAGAGGGAACTAAAGAGAAAAAGTGATCAAAGAAGAAATCAAGCCCGGGTGAATAGCTAACTTACATTGTATCCTGCCGATGCGGGACTGGCTCGGACTAACTTTGGACGTGAAACTAGCGGTAATCTTTCAGTTATTGTACTGTATATTTTATTAGCAGTGCGTTGCTCATCTCATCAGTGATTTCTGTACAGCTTATAAGAAGTTGTGCTAATGCTAACTAATGCCTACTGCTCTGTCGCCATCTCACATGCATTCTGAGTGTTATTATGGGATGTCTGGGCGGGTCATTTGGTACATGCAACAAATGCGTTAATTTTTTTTAAACACAATTTATGAAAAAAATTTAATTAACGTGCGTTAACGCGATAATTTTGACAGCCCTAATATATATATATATATATATATGTAAATACTGCATGTAAATATAAAAATATTTGAGTTGTGTACCCGTTTATTCTATTGTTTGACCCATTATCCTCAATGCATGATAAATGTGTTGCTACTATTTTACTGACTCTAGTCAATGTGCTCCATAAAGGACACATATATTGACACTGCCGTCTTTGTGCTTCAGTCAGCGTCTGGAAAGAACAATTAACCCGACAAAGAGACACTCACTGTTCTCCAATCAACCTCTGCTTTGTCTGACGTCCCCTTGTTTCGTCGCAAATAGCCTGTGCACGCATCTGTCCGATAACATCCTCCCACACAGGAGTTAATAAAAAAAATCAGTAGAAGATGCTGAGCCGTCAGAAAAACATCCCAAATTCTCTCCGACAGCACGGGAGGGAAAGATTAGAATGTGGAGTGGGACAGTGGATTTTGAGGCTGCTTTGATCGAGGCGTCTGCATAAAAAGCTGACAAGAGTTGCAGCAATCTGAGCAAGTGAACAAGGAGAAGAGAGAGCAGCGCTGTCAGGGAACGGTCATGCTTGTCTCACAAAAGAGAGAAGTATGAATCACAGACATAGACATTTTCAAGGCCAAACATGAAATAACAGCAGCAATAATTTGCCCACTTAAAATGGCTGTATGTAGTTTCACTGGTTTAATAAAGTCATAAAGATGAGTTTTATTCTCACTGCTTACAGCTCTTAAAAACTGATTACGGATGACTATTTCTTCCATGTGTTATGTTTGACTACTTATTTTAAGTGTTTCATTTAAACAAGAGAAAAGCCAAAACCAGATTCATTGCCCACATGAAAAATTCTGCTTTCTGATTGGATAATCTACTTAATAACTATTATCAGGTGAATTAAGTACCGATAGATGTAATTATTTACAGTCTCTTTTTAGAGAAAAAAAAAAATCTTACTTTCAGATTGTTAAAGTATCTTAGGCTATATCCACACGAAGACAAAACGCTTATAATTTCAGAAACTTTTTCTGTAAACACGGAGTTAGCTCAGTAAATGTGTGCGTCCATATGAATGTAGTCAATACGCCTGAAAACGCTGTGAAACTATGCCAGACCTGTTGGTGGCGCTGTGACGCAATGACGGGATCAAGCCCAAACTTCCGTGGGCATGCGCGGAATTTTGTAAACAGACAACATGGCGAGTGGGCGAGCTGGTACTACATTAGTATGGACGGACGATGAGGTTGAACTGTTGCTTCGGGTCACACTGGATTACAAAACCAACAAGCTACATTGTTGTTGTCATTATTTTCTGAGTGCGGCGCATGCGTGCTTTAACAAGAGGCGGGGCGATGACGCAAGCGTCTCAGATACATTGCGGAGAGGCAGTAACCACGGAGCGGCATATACGGAGTTTTGAAATCTTTCCACTCTGGGACCTACTTTCAAAAATGTTCGTTTACACCCCCCCAAAACGCCGGCCTCGTATGGACGATACACTGGATTGATAAAGTATTTTTGCGTTTAGGCCTGAGCTTGACTTCGTGTGGACAGGGCCTTAAAGATGAACTCTTACATTCCCAGAGGAAGTGTTGGAGAGGGTGCTCTGGGTGTCCCTGTGATCCAGCAACGGATAAAGCAGAAGAAGATGGATGATTATTTGCATCAAAATATATGCATTTAGATTTGAACTGTAGGTCTAATTAAAGCTGGGGTACCTAACTTCCAAACCACAACACTTTTGTGGCAAGTTTGTGTCTGATCTGTGGTAGTTTTCAAGTACATGTATTTTTAGCCTCTGTCCTATCTTAAAAAGAAAGGACCACCCTCACTCAGCCAATCAGATCCCAGCCCAAAGGGTCAAATAGTGACACACAGGGTTTACAACATTTTACTTGCTGAGAGACTCTTTTCATTGGGACAGATATTATTTTGTGTTCTGTAATTTTAATAAATAAACAATTGCCATGTGGGTACAATGTGCAATCTTAATTCCATTGTTGTTGGAAGCTAAGTTAGCCGCCATAGCATGTCAGACAAAACCGTTTGCAGAATTGAAGTGGGCCCAGAACTAGAGCCACATTATTTTTATTATTTTTTAATAATTTTTTTTACAATTGTCATTTTTGTTTAAAAATCTTTGACATATTTCTTTAACCTTGCTTTATTT